CGTTGCACTATGTAGATACTGTGTGGTTTTTGTTTGTTTTTGTTTTTTACAATTAATTTGGTCTGTGGCAACCCTGCATCGGGCAAGCCCATCGGTGCCACAGTTCCAACAGCATTTGCTCACTTTGTGTCTCTGTGCCACATTTTGGTAAGTCTTGCAATATTTCAAACTTTTTCATTATTATTTTATTTATAATGCTGAATTATAATCAGTGATCTTTGATATTACTATTATATTGTTTCCCTGAGACCCAACAATGTTGAAATTAGGCCAATAACCCTACAATGGCCTCTAAGTGTTCAAGTGAAAGGAAGAGTTGCATGTCTCTCACTTTAAGTCAAAAGCTAGAAATGATTATGTTTAGTGAGGAAGGCATGTCGAAAGCTGAGATGGGCCAAAAGCCAAGCTTCTTGCATGAAAGTTAGTGAAACTGTGAATTCAAAGGTAAAGTTCTCAAAGGAAATTAAAGGTGCTATTCCAGGGAACACATGAATGGTAAGAAAGTGAAAAAGCCTTATTGATGATATGGAAAAAGTTGGAGTGGTCTGGATGGGAGATCAAACCAGCCATAACATTCCCTTAAGCCAAAGCCTAATCCAGAGCAAGGCCCTAACTTCTTTAATTCTATGTAGGCTGAGAGAGATAAGGAAGCTGCAGAAGACAAGTCTGGAGCCGGCAAAGGCCGGTTCATGAGGGTTAAGGTAAGAAGCCATCTTCATAACATCAAAGTGCAGGATGAAGCAGCAAGTGCTGATGGAGAAGCTGCAGCAAGTTCTCCAGAAGATCCAGCTAAGATCATTCATAAAGGTGGCTACACTGAACAATAGATTTTCAATGTAGATGAAACACCTGTATATTGGAAGAAAACACCATCCAGAACTTTCATAGCTAGAGAGAAGTCAATGCCTGGCTTCAAAATTTCAAAGGACAGGCTGACTCCCTTGTTGGGGGCAAAGGCAGCTGGTGACTTTAAAGTTGAAGCCAATGTTCATTTACCATTTCCCAAATCCTACAGCCCTTTTGAGTTATCGTAATCTACTCTACCTGTGCTTTATCAGTGGAACAACAAAGTCTGGATGACAGCACATCTGTTTACAACATGGTTTACCGAATATTTTAAGCCCACTGTTGACACCTACTGCTCAGAGAAGATTTCCTTTCCCGATATGACTGCTCACTGACAATGCACTTGGTCACCCAAGAGCTCTGATGGAGATGGACAACATCAGTGTTTTCATGTCTGCTAATACAACATCCATTCTATGGCCCATGGATCAAGGAATAATTTCAACTTTTGAGTGTTCTCATTAAGAAACACATTCCATAAGGCTATAGCTGCCAAAGATAGTGATGGATCTGGGCAAAGTAAACTGAAAACGTTCTGAAAGGATTCAGCATTCTGGATGCCATTAAGAACATTCGTGATTCATGGGAAGAGGTCAGATATCAACATGAATAGAAGTTTAGAAGAAGGTGGTTCCAATTCTCAAGGATGACCTTGAGGATTTCAAGACTTCAGTGGAGGAAGTCACTGCAGATGTGGTGGAAATAATGAGAGAACCAGAATTAGAAGTGGAGTCTGAAGGTGGGACTGAATTGCTGCCATCTCATGGTAAAACTAACAGATGAGGAGTTGCTTCTTAGGGTGAGCAAGACAGTGGTTCTTGAGATGGAATCTACCCCGGTAAGGATACTGTGAAGATTGTTGAAATGACAACAAAGGATTTAGAATATTCCGTAAATTTAGTCTGAGAGAACTGACTCCAATTTTGAAAGCTGTTCTACTCTGGGTAAAATGCTATCAATTAGCATCATATGCTACAGAGAAATTGTTCATGAATGGAAAAGTCAATTAATGTGGCAAACTTCACTGTTGTCCTATTTTAAGAAATTGCCATAGCCACCCCAGCCTTCAGCAGCCATCACCCTGGTCAGTCAGCAGCCATCAACATTGGGGCCAGACCCTCCACCAGCAAAATGATTATGACTTGCTGAAAGCTCAGATATGGTTAGCATTTTTTAGCAATAAAGTATTTTTAAGTTAAGGTATGTACATTTTTTTTTAAACGTAATGCTATTACACATTTAATAGAATATGGTATAGTGTAAACATAACTTCTATATGTGCTGGGAAACCAGAATATTCATTTGACTTGCTTTACTGCGATATTCACTTTATTGTAGTGGTCTGGAACTGAACCTTCAATATCACTGAGGTATGTCTGTATAGAGCTTTCTTAGGTATAGTACTGAACTGAAGGGTTAGTTACATGTTCTGATGCTCTTTGGAAGTAACAAATCTGCTCTTCAGCTGTTGGCTACTTGGGATCGGGAGAACATTGTGGTGGGCCTCAGCGGTCCTCTGAGTCAGGGCGCTATTGAATAAACAAACTTAATTATGACTGAAGAAATAAATGTCACTGTCCTTTTTATTTTAATTGTAAAGAAGAACTAAATATGGGTATTGTGGTATTAAGACTGTCAGTTGATTTCTGTTAAAAGAGGATAGACAACAAATAGGTAATTTTCCTTTCTAAACTTCCTTTCCTTTCTAAATTCTAAAGGAATTTGAATCACTACTTCTCCTGGAAAATATTTCAATGAGTTATTGGCTAATTTACAGTATTTGAAGAGAAACAATCCATGGCTTACATACAATTAAGATTTCTTTAAAAAAAAAAAAAAGTCCAGAATGTATCCCAGACTCTGAAATATAAATTTATTAGCTTAACAGTGCCTGAGTTAATCTATTAGACTCCAAAATACCGTAACAGTGTTTTGCACTACATGTGTATGAAAACCTAGGTTTAGGAATTTTTGCTCTTGCCAAGAGCCCAGCCTCACAGAAACATCTTTTCATGATCTGATGTTTCAAGCATTCATAAATTCCCTATTAAGCCTAAAAGGAATCCCCATTAATGGATCAGTTCATGTTTGAGTTTTTAGGTAACATCAATATAAACTGTCTACATAAAATTAAGAAGCTAAGCAGGAATTCTCTTATGTTCTTGAAGAGAAATAAATTTAAGGCTTTAATTTATTCTCTGCAACTCATTCTTTTTTTTTTAAACTGGTATTTATGTATGTATGTATGTTCAGTTAGCCACTGTATAGTACATCATTAGCTTTTGACACAGTGTTCAGTGATTTGTTAGTTGTGTATAACACCCAGTGCTCATCACAACACATTCTGCAACTCATTCTAATTATGTATTATACCTGAGAAGTTATGTTTATAGAACAATAAAACAGATCAAATCTAGTTGTTTAATTGCTAAAGAGAAATGTATCATTTTAGCACAACAAATGGGAAAATTACTCAATTGGGAATCAGTAGAGCTAGCTAGGTTTTGCTTTAGGCTCTGCCATACCTGTATGACCTTAGGCAAATCATTTAACCTCTGCATGTTGAGTTCTGGTCTGAGGCCGACTCTTCTGTGGTTTAACAGGATGAGCTTGCAATTACGAGAGAGGCCCCTAGATGGTGCTGTTGTTCTGATTTAGGCTTTGTGTTTTTTCCCCTCTATAATTACAGTGAAGTAAAAAAGGCAAAGGTTAGAAAATGATTTCCTATTAGTTCTGAAAAAATTCACTGTTAGTATTCAAAATGGCACTGAATTATGAATCATATGGCCCAAGTGCATCTGGCATTAATTTAAAGGAATTAACCATAAAAAGGAATTAACCATTAATGACTATAATGAATATCTCCTATTATAATTAGCCCAAATATCCATTACTATTTCTCTAGGTATATGTATCTAAGCCTAAGAAACTGAATAAAAACCAAAAAATTATTGTTAAGACTTGATGTATAACAAATAGTATAGAAAAATATTTTGTTTTTTTTTTCAAATGCTCATTCTAACAACAAATCTTGATAAATGCACTGATTGTTTTTCACTATGACTGTTTCAGGCTATATTTATTTATTTATTTTTAAGATTTTATTTATTTATATGACAGAGAGAGAGCGAGAGCAGGAACACAAGCAGGGGGAGTGGGAGAGGGAGAAGCAGGCCTCCCGCTGAGCAGGGAGCCGGATGCGGGACTCGATCCCAGGACCCTGGGATCACGACCTGAGCCGAAGGCAGACGCTTAACGACTGAGCCACCCAGGCGCCCTCAGGCTATATTTAAAACCTGTGATTTCCATGAGCACAATGACAGATATATTATATTAAGCCCCCAGCTATGTAAACAAGGACATCTTTTAAAAAAACTCTCTTAAGTATTTCAAAAGGATGAGAATAATTTATTAAATGACTTCTCTAGGGGCGCCTGGGTGGCTCAGTTGGTTAAGCAGCTGCCTTCGTCTCAGGTCATGATCCCAGGGTCCTGGGATCGAGCCCCGCATCGGTCTCCTTGCTCAGCGGGGAGCCTGCTTCTCCCTCTCCCCCTGCTCACGCTCTCTCTATCTCTGTGTCTCAAATGAATAAATAAAATCTTAAAAAAAAAAATTAAAAAAATAACTTCTCTAGTTTCCACCCAGTAAAGAAAAAGAATTTGAAGATTCTAGTTTGAGTAGGCTTGGATGTACAATATCAGGTTTCACCTAAAATTATGGAAAGGAAAAAGAATACATTCCTATTTCTCCCCTATCAAATTCACTGAGTATAAAAATTATGTTCAATCATTGTAAGAGAACAAGAAGGTACCTATGAAAACCCATCCTGAGCAACATCTTGGCTTCTTGTCAATTGAGTGGGTAGTAAGTGGCAAGCAAAAAACGTGCCATGAAGGAGTGAAAGGATACAAAACTTTGGATTTTGTTTCAATAAAGATTTCTGTCAACAAGTTAAAGAGGAAAGATATTGGATCTTGGTGTATCCAAGACAGTATTGCTATGTGTGAAAGCTTTCCATCGAACTAACCAATCTACCAATTATCCAACCAACCAACCAACCAACCAACTTTTATTGAGCCCTGTATCATGCAAAGGGCTGGAGATACAATGGTACCATCTCCATTCTCAAAAGACTCAGTCTAGTATGAGAAAAGGACTTTAAAAAGTTCAGTTCAGTTTATTATAGTGTCAAGTAGATTTACAACTATTGCACTTATCATTCTGCTAACACAAGGCCAAAATTTAAGAGGGATATTTTTCTCCAATAAAGCTAGGCTTTCACGATCTTTGATATATGATGTCAAAATTACACAGGCAAATATTATACCTCATGTCCTATTCCAGACACATCCCCCACTTCCTGCTGTTGTGCACCTTGCTGCAAGTAAGAATTCAGTGGAGATAATGCTCCAAGTCACTATTTCTCATGAAATTACTCTGAAGTGAGATTTGACAAGAGTTTTCTTTATACTGTCCTCTTTAACCAAAATGTAAGAAAAACAGCTCCCATACTCCAAAATCAATTATAACCAGGTAACTGGAAGATGAAGTTCCATCAAAGACAAACATCTCCTCCCTTACAGAACCCCACATGGTGTTCACATAATTGTTGCCAACTGGTTGCCTAACTTTTTGGACAGTGGGAAACAATGATGAAAGCTAAAAAGTGACCAAGCATATGAAACTCTTCTCAAAAATGGAAGAAAATTGTGAAGGTTGTTGGGGAAGTGTTTTACATTTCCAATGAAATTCTATTCCATTGATCTGTTTGGAAGATTGTCTTCGACCTATTTGGCTTAAGCCCATAAGCTGTAATTGATTCAGTCACATAAAGAACCACTTTTATCTTAAGTCTGGAATGTGTAACAAATGGATAGCAGGAAAGTGGCTTTTTATTTACTCTAATAATTTGCGCAGGAATAAGCTAGGGGAAAAATACCCAAAGAAGTATCAGTCTTGGGCCTTCTTAAATTATTTTTCATTCCGATTATAGTGGAAAGAAATAAGCTGTGGGGGTTTGGTGTTTTCTGTCTTAACAGTTGCTCTGTATTCTGAGATATATGTGATTCATAAGGTACCACTATGACAAGACACAGTTTTTATATATTACTGGGGTAACACAAAGAAAATGAATTTTTCTTTGGGCACCAGTAATTGTCGAAAGAATGATTGCAGATTCAGAAAATGTGCTTTATAATAACCCCATTAGCATAAAGTATACATGGAAGAAAGAAGGTATGGCAGGTATGTGGAAGGGTTAGTTGTATTAGCAAGGCATTTCAGGATGGTTTTGGTTCTTTTGACTAAGATACATCAAATTTTAACCCCCTTTAAATCCTTGGACAGAGGGAAAAATACTTGATAACACAAGGAGCATTTGATGAGCATGAGCTGATTCACCAAGTGCTTATAAAGGCTCCAGCTAGTTAATAAACTGCCCCACCTGAAGCAAAGATTTGCCCTGGTAATAAGGATAATGCGCTTAAATGGTTAGAATTAATTTGAATGTCAAAAATGAAATTTAGATTACCAACCACATCCTGATAATTACAGCACAGAGAATATAAAATGTCCTCTTTTTAAACTAAAGTAGAAAATGAAGAAGCACGGTTAATTTCCTTGTGCTGATGCAAAGATGTCCAAGTGCAACATCTGCTCCTAAGCCTCCCCATGCTGCCACGGCACCCGACGCTTTCCCTGGGGGAAGTGGGTACCTGCCTTGCTAATCCTGCCTGACGTCCTCCTTGGTAGGATACCGGGGTGGTTCCTGGGTTTCCGTGTGCGTGTTTTAGTTACTCTGAATGAAAGAGGACTACAAAACCTAGACATATTCCGCTTTCAGAAAATTCTAGTGTACCATGTACATAGATATTTCTTTCAAAGGTTTACAAAAATAGTGCAAAAACATATCTGATAGTCAAAGTGATAGTTCAAGTGAGTTCTTGTGCCAAAGAACACAGTCAAGCTTCACCTTTAGCTGACTTGTAAAAACTGAACATAGTTTTTGGGAAATATTCCAGATTTTCCCATTAGTTCTCCACTCATCCAGTCATCATCTACAGATTCCAGCTCTGTTATGATGTCTCCAGCCTGTCAGAATACAGAAATTGGAAATAATGATTATTTTCTGTTGAGAATAAGCATGGTAAGCAGCCTCCTTGGAGAGGCATGGTTTATCTCTTGATGTCACTCACTGATCCTGATTTGCCCAGTGGATTAAACGATCCGCCCCACAGATGATCTAGACCTTACGACACCATTTGCTTGCATGCCTCTTCTCAGAGCCCCTTCCTTCGCCGTTATCACCCTCACTGCGCTTTTATTTTCCCGCTTGCATTTTGTGCCCCCCAAATTCACTACTCCTAATCTAAAATTCTTCTTTAAGAACAGTCCTAAATGTCATATAGATTGTATCTATTTTTTTCATTTAACAATTATTTATCGAGCACCGCAGATGTGTCAGACACTGTTCTGAGTATGACGCATACGGCAAGGAATAAAGGCCTCATTTTAGAGTAGGGAAGCAAATAAATAAGCTGGCCCAGGAGGACAGAAAGTGTGGGGTTGCTATCTCATTAGTTCCAGTCAGGGAACGCCCCCCTGAAGGTGACATTTTAGCAAAGACTTGAAGGTAAGAGGGTCCATGTACTTACCATAGATAGTCCTACTCTATACTCTATGTACTTTATAGGAATTAACTCATTTAAACAACACTGCAGTCCCAGAGTACTGTTACTTTGCCATTTGAGAGAGAGATTTTTATAGACTTCTTTAAAGAGAAGGAACCCGAAGCTCAGAGAGATTAAACAGCTTCCTTGGGGCTGCATGTCTAGTTAGTGGTAGGGACAGGATTCCAATCTAGTACGGTTTCAGGGCCGGTGTTGCTAACCATTGGGAAACACAGCCACCACATTTCACAGTGGATTTTTTACTTAGAAAGGCTCTTACTATAATTGCCTTTTCTCAACATCCTGAGCATTTTGTACTATACATTCATTCTTCCACATAATGGTATCCTCCTTTACCATTTGGTTTATTCCATGCTTCTATGGCCTCACAATCAAATTTACATTCCTGTCTTTAAAAGAGCTTCTCCCTGACTCAGAACATCTGATTTACCCTCATCAAGTCAGTCAAAGGCACTGTGTATCTTATTCATGTGTGAATTATAATTCCTCAACAGATGAAGACATCATTTTTGAAATTATCTCCTGAAACTATTTTGTTCTTTATGGATTCTAACCATTTCTTAGAATCTGGGTTTAAGATTCTCTCATGGTTCAGGATGACCCTGGCTACTTTTAAGAATCTCTTTATCAGGCTAAATGGATTTTATTTATAACACCAGTACACTGCCCTCTGGAAAAATGGTTTGATTTAAGGCCTGTCTTTATGGGAAATGGAAAGGAAAAATGCTATCAAATGTCATTAATTTACTTTACTCTGACAAAATCCGTAAAAATTCTGGCTGTTCAAAGTTTCTATTATAAATGAGTTCCTTCTGGTTCCTAAATTATAACATAATAGTTGCAATTTTTTTGGGGGGGGGGCTCTGGTCCATATGAACATACCATGTCAGTTTTCTGATGGCTAGGACATTTCTTTTTCAAAAAAGTTCTACTAATATTCTGTGAATATTTAATAAAATATTAATGATTAACAATGAATCCCTTAACTAAAAAGCTCGAGAACTGGGGCGCCTGGGTGGCTCAGTCGTTAAGCGTCTGCCTTCGGCTCAGGTCGTGATCCCAGGGTCCTGGGATCGAGCCCCGCATCGGGCTCCCTG